CCCGGTTCTGCCCGGTTTTCTCGTGGACACGCTCTTAACAACTATTCGCCAAAGTGAAAGTGGGTTGTGGTGGCTACCGAGCTATGAACAGTTGTTTTAAAACATGCTAAAGCAGTGAGATAGCATAGTAAAAAAAAATATTTTAACTCAAATGCGATGATGGCAATATTCCGAGAGCGAATCCCGCACGAGATACTTGGAGAATAGCGACGGATAACCGCCAATCAAAGCGCAGCTTTAACGTTATCCACTGTTTTAGTTTACTTAAAGGTCCTGGGCATGTTTTACATGACGATGAAGTACCCGCCAAGCCGTGGTGGAAAAACAGCCTGCATTTACATACAATCTTACGACCTCGGGATTCCAGGGTGATATTGTTGGCGCGCTCACAAAAGTAACACAAACGTGACCCCGACTATGCGGATTGCACCTTTACATGGCAAATTGCAACCCCAGCTGCCAGGGTTACCCTACCCGTAAGACCGGACGACCCATCAAGATGGGTTACCACACCTATCATGTAAACGTGATCAGATAAAATTGAAAAATTAAACGAGACTTACCTGTAAGTTGAAGTTTGATTGGAATTCTATCGAGTCATCAAACTGCACCAAGAGATCACATGAGATAGCTAGACGCATGCGCATAACCAGTATTTACAGCCGATTTGACATCTGATCACCATGAAGTAGATTGTATAACAACTGTAATGTCAATAGCACTACGAATAAATGGGTGGGTAAAATCAGATGTAAGTATGATTTGTTGCCCAAGGGTAGGCTTGTGATCCCTTGGTGCAGTTTGATGACTCGATAGAATTCCAATCAAACTTCAACTTACAGGTAAGTCTCGTTTAATTTTTCAATTCTATCTCGTCATCACTGCCCCAGGGATCCCATGAGATTTCAAAGCCAAGACAGTCACATGAGGAACAAACACTGAATGATGAATCACTATAATCAGTTTATTAACTGAAACGTAGTAAGTCAAACAGATTTACATGACAAATATCAACTGAGGGTATAAGTATCTTCCCCACAATAAAAAGCATGAGGAACGGAGCAATGAGTGATGTAGGTATTACAATCTATGTATCAATTGGAACCTAAAACACCATATGCAGGTGTATGTAACATTAAAGTAATGTT